GACTGCCTGTCCACTGTCACATGACTCTTCTTCAGCCCACTCAGATCCTATTACACCAGTGTGAATTGAGTTACAGCATGGAAAGCTCTTTGTTTAGTGAACCAAGCACTTTGCATTAGTTACCACATCTGTCTTGATATTCGGCATTGCATCATCTTTGTTGGAAGCCTGATTGCGTCCATGATGTACGAAAAATAAATAAATAAAACTAAATTTCATTAAGTAGTAATTTGACAGCACTCTTTTGCTGAATGTAAGAATCTGTTTTCAGTTTAAATTATTTGATGATTATTGGAAAGGTTTCACACTTTCTTTGACAAAAGGACAGAAATGGACCTATTTTGCATTACTTGTACTTTTTCTTTAACCTCACTGTTTACCTTGGATAACTTTCCATGACATTGCATTATATATTCACATTCTTTTCTGGGGACTCCATTATATGCATATACTATAATTAATTTAATAAATCTCTATTATTAAATATTTAGATTGTCCAAACAGCTTTAATATTATAAACATGCTATAGCAAATATCTTTTTTGCATATATCTGGGTCTATTATTCAATAAGAACAAATTCATAGATGCTGAGTTTCTGGGTCAAAGTGCACGAATAATTAAATTATTGAATTTATGACATTGCATTCCAGAAAACCTGAATCAAGTCTGGAATGGTGGTGTCCACCTGTAATTCCAGCGCTCTGTGAGGCTGAGCAGGGGAACTGCAAGTTCAAGCCCAACCTGGGCAATTAAGCCACTTAGTGAGACACTGTCTCAAACAAACAAACAAACAAACAAACAAACAAAAAACCAGACAGAAGAGAGAGAGAGAGAGAGAGAAAGAAAGAGCTGGAGATGTAGCTCACAGAGAAGGCTCTGCGTTTAATCTCCACTGCTGAAAAACTAAATACAAAAACCCTGAATCAATTTATAGTCTTATCAGCAATGTATCAAAATATCCATTTTACCTTGCTAATCTGTAACATCTCTTTCAATTAAGTAGGCAAATGATGTGAATCTGTTAAAAAAATTTTTTAAGCCCTTAAAGGAAGAATCAACTAGGCTTTCCCACTCTAAATTTCTGTGACCTTGCATTTGAACATAAAGGGAGACTAGAGTGTTTCAAAGTGAAGGTTCTACTAATCCCAGCACTCGGGCAGGAGGCAGGAGAATCACAAGTTTGAAGTCAGCCTGGGTTAATTAGGGAATCTGAGGCCAGCCTAAACTACTGTTTATTTTATTTCTTTTCTCATTGAGTTTATTAGTACATTTTAGGTATACAATACAGTTACATTCATTATTGGGATCTTGTAACTTTACATGGCAGGTCTTGGGTGGCCTTGTTTAAAAGAAAAAAAAATGCAAAGTTCTAAATTGTTTTTGCTAAATACAGACCATGTTAGTTCATTCACTATCAAATATTAATAACAGTGTGTTATAGTTTAGATCTAAAATATCCCCCCAAAGTTTCATTTATTCAAAGGTGGGGCTTTTGGAAGTTGATTGAATCCTGGGGACGCTATACTCACTGGTGGTTTAATCCATTTAGGAATTTACAGCTGAATGTGTTGAGAAGTAGATCCTGATTGGAGGAGGTGAATTACTGGGGGTGGGATATATCTTTTGGAGGAATCTTGCTCTCTTTCTGTTTCCCTTCCTCCCTCCATCTCCCTCTCCCTCCCTCTCCCTCTCCTGCCCTCCCTTCTACTTTCCCTTCCTCTCCATCTCCCCCTCCCTTTCCTTTCCTCTATCTCTCTCTTATTCTTCCTGCTGTTTCCTGGCTGCCATGGGTTGAACAACTTTCCTCTACCATGCCCTGTCTTCCTTGGAGTCAATGTGGCACTGACTGAACTCTCTGAAACCGTGAGCCAAATTGAATCTCTCATCCTTTAAAATGTGGGTGTCAGGTATTTTGTCCCAGTGACAGAAGAGTGACCAATACAATGTGCAAAATAAGAATTCTCAGCAGCCACAGAGAAGATTTTTTGAAGATCAATGGATGAAGAAAGGGCATAGATGGCAGGGCAGTCTTGGGAGATAATGTCCCTATAATGCAGCTAATACATTTGAGGCATTTAACAAAATGAGATCTAAAGCTCTTGTACTTAGAGGATAGCTGGTTAATGACGTGTGAAGTGAATCAGAAGGCAGAATGGTCTTAAAAACTGGTTATGCCTTGGAACATACAATATTAGAATAAAAGTATGATGGGTAACTAGAGTAGGCAATAAATAGCATGATGAGACCAAAGGAGCGACATTTCCATTCCTTACAAATGTGTTTCTGGTGTTATCTACCTAACAGGGTCTTCAATTCTCCTTTCCTTGTCAGGGATTAATTTGATGGATGAAGTAGAACAATAAAGAGGCTATTGGTGAGGAATGAACCCCTTCCCAAATGATCCCTAGGTAATTAGGAGTGCTTTTGATCATTTTTTGGAAAGGGACTCTCTGGAGCTGTATCCTTGAAGTGTCCTTGCCAACCAGCAGCATAAGCACTGCCTGGGAATTTGTTAGAAATGTGAACTGCGAGGATCCACTCCGGACCCAGAGTCAGGGGCTCTTGGGGTAGGGCCAGGAGTCTGGATTTTAACAAGTCTTCCTAGTCATTCCGCTGCCTTATCCTTAGGTACTTAAGTAATTGTTATTTCCTTATTTATTGTTGATGTTTTCAAGGAATTTTTCTCTTATTTTTTTCAAGTAATAGTTAACTTTGAGAAGTTTAGAAAAATGTAGAACTATAAAAAGATGACAAAAGATATGACTTGCTTAAATACATCTTCCTAAAAAGAACACTGCTTTAAAAAGTATTCTGTACCTGGCATTCTGAAATGCATGCTTCATCCAGTGGTGGGGATGTTGTCTGTAAAGTGCAATCTTTTCCTCTGGGATGAGGATTCCTGGAGCCCTTCACAGATGGCCAACATATTTCCATAGAATTATATGTATTCTGAATTAGTGGGTCACTTGACTTATCTATTTAGACTTATTATGACAAAATATCATCTTGATGAAAGAAAAAAAAGTTTAACATCTTTGAAAAGAGATCAAAGTCTTTGACACAAAACTTCATATAGAGAATATCATGTTGTACACATGTTGGAAAATTGATTTTTTCTGAAAAGTAGTTTGAATCCTATCTTACTATTTTGTTTCTTTGGATTGGCACAGAAAGTCTTCCTATAAAATCCTGTGAAAGGTGTACATTCAACTTTTAAGAAACTACGAAACTGTTGTCCAAAGTGATTGTACCATGTTATATACATACAGCAGTGTATGAGAGAGACTTCAAACCACTCCATACTCTCACCAACACTGGGTATGGTGGTACAGTAGCTTGGTATAATAACCATTCTATTAGGTCTGTAGCGTTATTTTATGGCAATTTTAATTTGTATTTCTCTTATGACTAATGCTGTTGAACATCTTTCCAAGTGCTTACTTGACATTGGTATAATGTAGGTCCCCAACTTGTGGGCAAGATCTGTTCCTGGAGATCTGTCAGATTTTTATTCATAAGCTGACAGTGAGTCTTATACAGTACAACTGTGAAAGTCTGCAATGTGCATGTCCATAAGTTGGGGACTTACTGTATCTTTTGATCCAGTCATTCCACTTTTTATTAAAAAATAAAAACATATGGGGCTGGGGATTTAGCTCAGTGGTTCTGCCACCTGCCTCACAAGCACAAGGTCCTGAGTCTGATCACTGGTATAAATAAATAAATGAACAAAATTTTAAAAAATGCATGTCAAGATAAAGACTGAGTTGTGTCTCTTCAAAACTTCTATGTTGAAGCTGTAACCTAATGATTGTATTTAGAAATGGGGTCTTGAAAGAGGCAGTTAAGGTTAAATGAGATAAAGTGGTACCCTGATACTAAAAGTTCAGTGTCCTTATAGAGTCCAGAGTACTTGCTCTATCTCTCTCTTTTTCTCTCTCTCACACACACACTCTGTCCTTTCTGTGAACCAAGAGGTCATGTGAGCACATAGCAAGATGGAAGCTGTCTGGATGCTAGGAAGAGGTCTCACCAGCAACAAACCATGCTGCCAGCATGGTTTGGAATGTCCAGCCTCCAAAAATGTGAGAAAATCAGTTGTTTGGGCCATCCAGTCCATGGTGTTTACTGTGGCAGCCCGAGTCGACTAATAGGCTCTGCACAACTCTATATGCAATAGTCAAAAACTGGATGCCTCCCAAGTCAATGGGAAAACATTTATAGTATTTATATGCAATGCAATACTACTGAGCAATAAAATTGGATCAACTCTTTATATATGCAATGTGGGAAAATCTCTAGATAGTTGTGCCAAGTGAAACAAACAAGCTCCCCCCCAAAGTCAACATGGTGATTCCATTTATATAAACTCTAGAGAGTACAGATGATCTACAGTGATAGAAAGCAGGTCTGTGGTTGCCCGGAAGGGAGCTGTGGTGAGGGTTGGGAGGCATGGGATTGCAAAGGTGCAGGAGGAAATTCTGAAGGGGTGATGGGCATGTTTAGTAGGTAGTCTAGATTGTGCTGATAGTTTTCTGGGTGTATACATATGTCAAGACCTATTAAACTGTATACTTTACGCACTTTATGGTTGCTAACGTATACTCAATAATTCTACTAAAATATCTGTGGAATCTTATCTCTGAAAAGCTCTCATTTTATGTTAACCACATTAAAAATTTTTTCTTTCCTTTATCTCCAGACAAAGAAATGAAAAGAACATGCCTCAATCAGAATAGGCTGTCAGGGGATGGGCCATGCCATCGTATCTTCCCTCGAAGCAGCCTGGGACAGAATTCCTGTCCCTCCAGACTCCCAGCCTTTCCGTTACCATTGGAAGTAAAAAGCAAACACAAACAAACCAAGGCAAAGGACCGTAAAACAGGTGGTTGCAAAACTCAGAAATGGGAAGCAAAAGCTTATGCTCAGACCTTCTGTGCTGTTCTTGCAAGCTTACTTGGCCTTGTCGAATCTTGCAGTAGAGCGGGAATTGATTACGATGACTTTCAATCACATTTGGTAACCAGGGTCAGGAGGAGAATATTACAGAAAAGAAAACTCTTCACAAATAGAGGCACTAAAATCCAGAGACGTCAGCTCATTCAAAATCTGCTTCAATTTCCCAGGAAATGTACAAGATAAAATAGGGACTTAGTCATGGTTTTGGGCAAAGTTAATACCAAACACGAGATTTTTTGTGGCACTTTGAGGGCTGTGCCGATTCACTGTTTAGATGGGCCCGCGACAGCAGGGACTTTGTAGAGCATTCTTGGCAAATCACTATGGAAGGAAACGTTGCCAGTTGTTCATTTTATTTCTACTACTTTGTGGAAGCTCGGCTGTGTGTGTGTGTGTGTTTTGTTTTAGCAAACATTTTGAGCTTTGGCTACCAGAGCTAACAAGTAGTAGACAGGAACTCATGACTATCTGATACCAAAGCTCTTGCTCTAATACCAACGTAGAACAGAGAAGTTTCTGTGAGGCCTACGTTCACCCTGCCCTGTGTCATCCTGCATCTCCTCTTAATTGTGACTCTCATTACCTCGCTGCTGGTTACCAGCTGGAGAGCACAGATTGCACCTGCTCCGCAGGCCAACCGGGGCCCCTGCCCGCTCCGCAGTTTAGTGCGGTTTCCTGTGCACGGACTTGAGGACCCACCAGGGGTCACTGCAGCCTCAGAGCTATTGTGTCCGCCGGTCCTGGACGCGGCCGGCTGCACGGAGGGCGTGGGGCTGGGATCGCAGGGGGCTGGGATCGCAGAGGGCCGGGGTCGGAGC